ACTTTGAGTTTAGGGTCTGCGTATTTCCAGAACAGGTTATATGCCTTCTAAAAATCTACTGCTAATTTCTTTGCTTCTATAAATAAGTGTATATTGATCTATAAGATTTTTACTACCAGTACATTGATTAAAAAAAGCGCAATTTAGATTTGAGAGTTGCTTGAGCAGTGTAAAAAAGGTTAAACCTCTACAAAAATGAATTTTATTTTAAAATTTATGAGAGCCCAGCCAGTTCTATTCATGCTTAAATGAGCTTTCCAATAAAAATATTTATAGACATTAAACTTTTAAAAATAATTCTAAATATTTATGATTTGTGCAGAATCATAAATGCTATTTGGACAGACTTCAAATGTGGAGGAAGCTTTCTGTAGGAAGAAAGCAAAATCGGTCTCATTCATGAAATAAGCGTCAGTTCTGAATAGCAGATATCCACCAAAATTTAGAGGGATTTAAAAAGGACAGGATGATTTAAAATACAAAATAAGCACATTAAAATATTGGCAATTTATTGAAGATTTTATCACTAAAAGATGTGTGAATTTATTCAACAAACCCTTTTTCATTTCCTCGCAAATCTTTTAAAATTCTCTTTCAGATTTACTTGCCCAGTTTTTACATACTAGATCTGCTTGCATGTGTCCAGAAGTAAAATCTACTTGGATTTTAATGAGATTCAAGTTCTGGCACTGTTTATTTCTCCAATGTATAGGACTACACAAAATCGGTTGTTTCTGTATTTTGTAGTTGTGTGGACATACCTGACCTAGCTTTAGGCTTACTGGCCAAGTGTTCACCTGGCTTCTTTACTGAGCTTTGCAGACAGTGCTGAACTCACAACTCCTGTGTCGAGATTTCTCTTAAACTGTCTGAAGTTTGTAGACAAATTTCACTTGGATGTTTTTGCAATGTGATAGTCACAAGACTGACCGGAATATAAACACTCATCTGTCTCAAAGACATGACATTTGGATCAGATGGGGACTACTAGCTAAATATTCATGTGACCTCTAGTTTTGTTTGCAGATATTTTGATTGGCTTGATAAGTCCCCTTCTCGATTAAAACCAACATGTTTGAAGATGGAATGATGGCGATAAACAGTTAGCTAACCTTAGATAGCACTGTGTAGCAGTATAACACTAGTTACTTGGATGTGCTTACACTGTCTTTCAGGGAAACCTAACCACCATATATTAAAAACTGTATCAAAGAACTTTGAGAAGGTTGGTACATTTGTCGACAACCTTTAGTTGCTCTACTGTACAGAATCATAGAATCATTAAGGTTGGAAAAGACCTTCAAGATCACCTGGTCCAACCATCATGCTAGTACCAATGTCACCCACTAAACCACGTCCTTAAGCACCACGTCCAGTATGTGATATATATGTGGTTCTGTCAGTAATTTTTTTGGGTTTCTGACAGCTCTTTTGAATGATTTTGGGTTGCTGCCGATATCAAAATAGTCCTAAAGCTGAGGATCCATTTGTAATCCTACTGCCACTTTTAGTGAGGTACTAACACTTCTGTTGCTTGAGCAACAAGACTGTGCAAGAAGAAAGGTTCCATCTGCTTGCAGCTCAGCATCTCCACGCAGGGCCTAGTCAGTCCTTGAACTGAGTGTTCACAATTGTATGTAGTACATATTAAAACAGAGCAGGCCTTAGAACAATTGATAGTGTGATTATTTCTGTCTTCCCATGCATCACAGTTTATTTTTGAAGACTGGTAGAGGAAGAGTTTCTTTCTAAACAGAAGACATGGTAACTTTCAGACTCAGTTATTTTCTTTTTCATAGTGCATTTTGAATAAAGTAATCTTAAAATCTTTGCCCCATCGTAGTTGGTATTCTGAATTAAAATCTTGTGTAAGGACTCTAAAACTCATACGTGATGGTTCTCTCATGTATATGTTTATATCCATGAAAGACCGGGTGCAACAAGAAATTTACTTTTTTGCCTTTTCTTTCAAAACCTGAACACATACCTACCATACAATTGTATTACAATTCTATTTGATACCTCTGCCTAGGAAAACAAAATATCACTCAAAGAAACTTTCAGTCTGTTTGGCTGTTGTAGGAATATAGTATCTTATATAGATTTATTATTATTTTTATTATTATTAATAATTTTAATTTTAATTTCTCTAGGACTTTATGAAGCTAGAAGATGACTTTGTTTGACATAAGAAATGGCTGCTGTTTAGTTTTCTTCTGCTTCAAGATTAGACTTTTGCTGTGCATAAGACCAAATACTCTTTAGCATCTATGAAAACAGTGCTTCATTTTTATTTTTATTTTTATTTTTATTTTATTTCTTTTTCACCAGGAGGGAATTTGGCCCAGCACATTCAGGAGAAATTATTATCTCATAACCTATTTATATATTTAATTGCAGTGATTAAAAAAAATGGATTCTAAGCACTGTGTTCTGGTCCTGAACTTTGTCCCTGATCCTCCCAAGATCCAATTGCATGCTGATGTGCATCACTAAGTCTAATCTTGTTAATGTTCATAGAATCACAGAATCATAAAATATCCTGAGTTGGAAGGGACTCACAAGGATTGAGCCCAGCTCCTTGCTCCACACAGCACCACCCCAAAATCAGACCCTGTATCTGAGAGTGCTGTCCAAATGCTTCTTGAACTCTGGCAGACTTGGTGCTGTGACCACTTTCCTGGGGAGCCTGTTTCAGTGTCCTGACCACCCTCTTGATGAAGAACCTTTTCATAACATCCAGCCTGACCTTGTCCCAGCTCCATGCTGTCCCCTTGGGTCCTGTCGCTGTCCCCAGAGAGCAGAGCTCAGCGCCTGCCCTTCTGCTCCCCGTGTGAGGGAGCTGCAGGCCGCCATGAGGCCTCCCCTCAGCCTGCTCTGCTCTGGGCTGAACAAACCAAGGGACCTCGGCTGCTCCTCATACGTCTTGGTCTCCAGACCCTTCACTATCTTTGTAGTCTTCTTTTGGACACTGTAATAGTTCTGTGTCCTTCTTTGTGGCACCCAAACCTGCACACAGTAATTGAGGTGAGGCCACACTAGTGCAGAGAGGAAAAAGCTCAGAGTAGAGCGAGAGTGTTTACCAGAACTCCTTGGTGTTGAACTTCCATCTGGATCAAAGCCTTTTATTCCATGTATGTTATCTTGCTAGCTGTAGTTCCCTGCTATTACCAATTTCTACGTAATGACATTTATTACTGCGTTTTGAGGCGAGTCTCATTACCAGAAGCTGCTAGACTCCTATTTAGTTATTAGCTGGGTACAATTAGAGTTGCATTAATCAGTTGTGCTTGTTCAGCTGAGTTCAGTTTTTCTTTTGCTGAAGGGAAGATCTGAATTTATAAGCCACTACTGCAGACAATTTGAAACCATGACCTTAAATGAGGTCCCAGATGCTCTGACCACATACAGTTCAAGAAGTGTGCAGTGCTTCGTGAATTACAGAGAATGATTATCATCTTTGACCACTATCTGTACACATCTTAATGTCTTTTTTGCAACATTAGATCTGGTCTTCATGAGGAGAGAAGTACATTACAAAGTTTTAAATGATGAGACAGCCTGCCTTGCCTATTGTTTTTCAGAACCATGTAACTCTTCAGGTTCTTAAAACTCCTCAGCATCTCATTGTTTGAAATCTGGGGGATAGGGCAAAAATTATTTGTTTTTGCATGCAGAGATTCTTTTCTGTCTTCAGCTTTGTGTTGGATGGCTTCTTAAACTTCAGACAAATTAGCTGTTACCCTCCTGAGCTTCCCTTGCAACTGTGGTTTTTAACTGTTCCTTACTTCTCCACTCAGGAGCTTGCCTGAGGAAGGCTCTCTTGAGTTTTGGGTAGCTGATGTACCTGCAAGCCCAGGTGGCTTAAGGTTTAGTACAAAAAAGTCCAGAGTTCACCATAGTCGGATAGAAGTGTTAGTTCCTCAACTTCAGTGGTTTGTATTGCTCTCCGGAGATTTTTAAAGACCATGGAAAAGGGAAGGTGCCTCTGGGAGAACTGAGGCTGTTGACCTATTAGGGACAGGTTTGTAACAATTACGGCCATGCAGGTTAGAACATGATATATGTTTATTTAGTTTTGAAGTAACTAACTATTGAGACAAGTAATACACCAGTTCAGATCTCAGCGTAGAAGTTAATGTATATCCTGCAGAATCCGAAGGAAGACAGTACAGGATAAAAACCACGCTTCTTTATGGAAGAGTGGCATTATTTTAGTTTGCTACATTATCTGGAAGAGCTATCTGAATAATGTTCAGTAGGTATGCTGACACTGAACATGCTGAAAGAAAGATAGATCCTAGATGCCTAAGCTAAAGAAAGGACATCTGGCCTACCTGTTGTCTTTGAATTAAACTCTGGAAGTCTAAAAACATGGAAGTTCTTGTGAGAAACTAGTATTAACTAAACCAAATCAAATTCAAAATGCTTTAGATGAATGAGTGCAAAGGCAATGTGAGTTGAAGGGAATGAGTCTAAATTGAAAGGAGGAAAGTTTAGTTAAATTGATTTTATAGTTATTTAATCTAAGGATAAAATCAGGACTGATGAGATGAGAAAATCTGAAAAAAAAATTATATATATATATATATACATATATATATATATTGGTGTGGAAGAAATGTCCTTTAAACTACCTGTATGTTGAGGAAATGGAAAAAAGATACACATTGCATTTTTTTTAGTTTCATGTCAGTCAACTTAAGTTTTGACTTTGAGCTACTCTACTTATCAATAAAATTTTCTGAAACAAATTGCTGCTGAGATAAATGAGGATCATGATGATGAAGTGCCATGGGCTGTAAGTTGTGGTAATTTGTATTGGTGGGGAGGAAAAGAACCTTGTCTTCCTTGAAGATACATAATCCTTATTTCTCAGTAGTTCCTGATTTTATCTGAACAATAAACCTTATGGATATTGGGGAGGAAACTGTTTGAAGTGATTACTTATGTTTTCTGCAAAATAATATTAAGTGATTTTTCTTTTTTTTTCTCCACAGTAAAACCAACAGTTATTGATGTTGATATTTATGTCAACAGCATTGGTCCTGTATCATCAATAAATATGGTAAGCGACTTGCTAACAAAGATTTTTATCTGGACTGTTGGTCTTGGCATCAATACTAGCTTTTGAAAAAGATAATAAATAGCACTGGTATAAGTTGTTTTGATTGCTGATTTAGTTCTGTTTTCAGCTGTAGCTCTGTTTTTTTCAGATAAATCTTTTATGTCTCTTCAAGAGGAGAACAAACCTTCAAGCAGTATCATGTTCTGTGTTGTCTCCCATAAAATGCAGGTAGATTTTGAATGGTAAAATAGCAGTCAGGGAAAAATAAATATAAAACAAATCTACTGTCAAGAAAATTCTTGATTGCTGTTTCAAGAGTTGGTTGAATATATGGAACTTTATAACATGGAGTTAGTAACTTGATAACATGGAATAATACCATGTATTATCAGTATATTTATTTGAAATTCATCATCCCTTCAGTGGTTATTTTTCTTTCACTGAGTTATCAACAATCTTTAGCCTTACAGTATAATTTTGAAGAAGTTATCCATATCTGTATTGTATGTGTAAAGGCAGGTAAAATAGTAAAATAGTTTGTGTGATACTGTGACAAAAATGAACCTATTGAATAGTAATGGTTGGTCAGCTGTTGTGGACTTCTTACTTCCAGGATGTTCCTCAGTTCTGCAACAAAACATACAAGTTAGAAAGCAAGCTGAATGTTTGTTTAGCTGTAGAGGTATAGGTTGCTGTGACTACTTATGTGATTGTGGGTTTGAATTCAGTGAAATAACCTCCATTGTAAACTAGGTTGATTTTATCTTACAATTCTGAAAAGTAGAATCTGAAAAAGAAAAATACTTGTTAATGTCTTAATTTACTTATTAGTGAAGATGTTATACTAACTCATCAAAGCAGGGTCTTGTGTACACGTTGACATTCAAAGGCTGGTGGGTGCTATGGTGATTTAAGAATCTAATAAGTGTACTGCATGTATGGCTTGTGGTTTTGGAACAAATGCTTCTGAATTTGAAAGCTGGTCATTTAGCCCAAGTGTTTGTTATTGTCTATGTATAAAGGAGGATGCAAATTATTGCAACGTGTTAAACACGGGTTGGGGGAAGACTCCTCCTGCCTCTGACAATGGGAAATCTGGCAAGTAAAGACAGAACAAATTATGTGCTAGGAACAACTTGGGCACATATTCAAAGACTCTGAAATGTTTTGGTCATATTTCTTTACGTGAAGCACTGAATACCAAGCAATGGGTGTACCTGCTCCATTTCTTGAACTCATAAATAGTTAATTATCTTGCCCTTCCCCAACTGTGTACCAAAATGAGTTCTCTAGGGAATGATTTAATGGAAGATTTGTTCTGTTTATGGCTTGCATTAACATGGGTACTCTGTTCAAAAGGAATAGGAACAATAGTGAGGATATTTACTTGTTTTGCCTCACTGAATTACCTTCTAAATAAAATACTATGGTGATGGAAAATAAATTGAAATATTATTTAAGACAGCATTTAATAGGAACTTCTTCAGGTGGGAAGATGGAAAAAATATTAATAAAAACATCTAGTGGTTCTTGGAAGCTGGTTATGTCACAGTCAAAACATGACTAGTTTATTTATCCCTTAACTTTGAGTTTAAGGTGTATTATGGCACGAAGATGGAAAAACGCAACAAAATGTCAATTAAAGGAATGTGCACCGTATCTCTTTGATAGTAGATGTTCTTATTGGGATGGTCAATAAGAATATGGTGTAGGGATATTTTTTGTTTACAGATGGAAAAAAAATAGCATAGTCTGTAAGGACAAGAAGGTAAATACAATAATGATGAATGAAAAGTCAGAATATATAAACCTGAAGTTTTAAGTCTCAAAACTCACGTCTGCTTAAAGCTGTATTTATACTGAATAGAAATGTATAGATGATCATATAAATGGTCAGAGTTTCAGATATGTTTGTGGACAGTATGTCCCACTGAAACTGAATCTGAACTAGCTAAGCACTTTTGAGGTTTACTTCTATTGTCAAACCTAATTATAGATGTAGGAGCTTAACATAAAGCACATAAATGTAGCAAACCTTTGTCCAAAGGCTCCATTTCTGCTTTCTGACTTTGGAGTTTGCCCGGACTTACATGAGAGAGCAGAAATGAGCTTGTAGTTTAAAAATTACAACAAATACGGGAAATTCTCTTTAAAAACCTACAGGTTATGGTTATGCATGATGACTTGTCTCGTCAGTGGCAGAACTACTCTGGGGAGCTATGCTTGCCCTTACTTATACTACAATGTCAACTGTTTGGCTACAGCAAACAGTGGCTCTGTGATGCTTTACTGGGAAAACAAAAAAAAAAGCACAAAATGTTTTTTTTGAAATTAAAAATTCAAAAATTATTTTCACTTATTTTTTTATTAATTATATAAGTGTTTCAGATAGCCCATGAAACACTGGAACATGAATACACAAAGAGCTGAACAGAAACATTAGCAGGTAATTATGGGCAGCAGAAGAAGAGAAAGGGAAGGGACTGTATAACTGAGCTCTCAAAGAGAGAGGAATTGTGTACAGAATTCAGATCAGTATTCTAGGGAGAAAAAAAAAAAAAAGAGAAACTACATATAGACCTCCCTCTATATTTCTCAGCAGGACAGGAACTTTTAGCTTTTCTCCCCTAAATTGTTACTAAAAGTTGAGCTATTCTGTCAAGGTAACTCAGCAAGATGGCAGTTGATTGAGCAAAAAGAAAGATGATTGCATTGATTTCCATCTCCTCTGTTTCAAGAGTGAGATCATCAACATGTACAAGGAGGACTTCCCTGCTGTGTACTTCCAAACTTAGCCCTTAGCTCTATCACATTTTTCTTAATCTGCAATACTTCTGAGGGAAAATCATGGGGAGTTTCTCTAGAGGTCAAACTCTGCAGGTGTATTTTCTTATCAGTTTTGATCAGCACTTTTCATCCTGTGGGTGAAACCTTGAAAGTAAAATTATTTTCTTAAAGTTGTCTATTCAGTGGGTGTTCAACCGAATGTTCAAGCCAATTTCGTAGACCAGACATTTTTAGGTGTCAGTAACTTTGTGTAATCATGATTTGACTTGAGTATGAATATTAACTTCTCATTGTTTCTTTAACAGTCATGGAAAAGACAGTAGCTGCCAGATCCTTGCCTACAGCAAAGATAGCCTCGGATAAATTGTATGTGAATACTTATGGCCCTGAGAAAAAAGAAATCCTCTTAGAATGAGGTTGGAAGTGCCACAGGGGAAAGAAATGTTAGGAATTGCTTTAAAAAGGCTTTCAATCAAGGCAAAGGTAATGCTCTCTGTGCCAAAGTTGGCATAGTCCACACGACAGGTTTTTGTTGCTTTCCCTGAAGGCCTTAACAGTGATTCACTCCCTGGTTGCTTTCAAAAATATCTTTTTAGAATCTCAAGATCTCCAGGAAAAAAAAAACAAAACAAACAACAACCAGGTGATTGTAGGAAGTTAGTGTATGCGCTCTTCTATTAGAGACTCATCGTTATAACCTCTTTATGATGACAATAGAAACCTTTTTTCTGAATCTACAGTAGTTACTCGTCCTTTGCCTGTGACATTAAAGATTTCTCTGAGGCGTAGTCTAAGAAAAAGATAGTATTAAGTATCAAGAAATAGGCATTGTATAAGGATAAAGAAGTCAAAGCAAGCTGAATAATAAACTAGGATGTAGTCTCCACTGGCACTGGCTTTGAAGAAGGTTATTTCAGTGTTTGATGCCATGTATGATGTTATGAAATGAGAGAGGTGATTGTTAATAGACAAGGATTTTAAAATGTAAAACACTGAGATTTTAACCCCATTAAAATTTCTAGGTTTGCTTTTTTAAAAGATAAAAGCCATTCATCATATAAATACACTGTTATCTGTCCTTTATCGGAAAAAAAAAAAAAAAGTATGTAAGTTTAGGCTGATTTAAAAGAACCATAATCTGGTTGATTTTAAAGTAATTGACACATGGATGTTGAGAGCCAATTCAGATCTCCTCGTGCTTATATTATATCCCTTTATTCTGTTTTTTTATCTCTTTACAGAGTGAGTTAAAAAAATCTGCTACTTACCATTTCATGTTATAATGTTACTGGAGACCCTGACTTGTGGGATGCAATATTCATATCTATCACAATAATTTACTTAAACCTTTTGACATTTAAAAGTGTTGTTATTTCTGTAATCATAATGAACATATTTCTACTGCTGTTAGGGATCTTCTACGTGACTTTTTAAAATAAGTAAATTCATCTCAAATCTTGATTTTATTTTTCCCCACACTTTATATTTTAAAATAGGCATGTGAATTGAAGATTACTTCATTTTCGTACCTTAATGTCTTTTTATTTTACACCATTCAAAATGGTGTCCAGGAAGCATATAGTTTTATATTAAAATCCATGCTCCAGTTCTTGTCAACAATCTGATTCTTGTTAACAACCATAAGTGGTTTCTAAGTTGTTGTATAAAACTTAGATACTAATGTGGCTTCCCGCAGCTTTTTATTTTTTATTTTTTTATAGATAACTAGAAATGGTTTGTGTATAGAAGAACAGAAAAAGAAAAGAGACAATGTCAATATGCAAAGTGGGAATCAGATGTAAATGGTGGGGAAAAAACCGTCCTCTAGGAGCATTTTTGTTGAACAGAAATATAAACACACTGAGATTACATAGACTATTCAATCTCAGTAGCATCAAAGTGTGTGCTTCTGTGTCTGTGTGTGTACACCTACAGTCTTTTTTAACTGAGTAGATACAGGAACATGAGGCTGCAGCACAAGTTGGAGGTGAAGGAAAATGTTGATACCTCTGTGGTTTTAGCAACCAGAATCTCATTGTACTGCAGCTGTACAGGAAATATATTGAAGAAGCACCATGAGAAACAAGCTCAGAAACTGTACTTACCTGTTCATAAAACTATTAATTGCTTATCTGCTGGATATATGCTGATTTCTTTATTCTCAGGTAATCTGAAAATGTAATTCATAGAGTGTTTCTCTGGTGTGTTTCATC